ATTCCAGAGCTTTTGTTCCCTGGGATGGGGTATCTTTGATAGCTTTACTTATAAAATACATTGTTTAAATTAGAGATTATTAAGGTAAAATTCTATTTACTTAGAAAGGAAAAGAAATGCTGCTTTAGAAACCCAAAATCAATTGCTGTACAACAAGTTGATCTATCTCCGAAAGAAGACAAAACAGGGTCCAGATTAGTCAGATATCAGTGCTTAATGCATTGTCATTTGATCTTTTCATTACTTCCTGTCTCAAATTTTCCATCACAGTCGTTCCTTATATGCTAGGGGTTTTTCTTCCAGTTGGCACACATGCCAAGTAGACATGTATTCCTATTTTGTCATTCAGCAAACTCTATGCTTTTTATCTACCACCTACCCCTCCTACCCCTCCTCCTCCATCACTAACACATTTTGCCATTAGTTTCAGGCTACACAATGTCATCATCTGCATGCTTTTCCTCACACTGTCCCAGCTGATGTCCCACATCCTTCATTCCATGGCACCTGAGCAGAACCACAAGATGACAACTCTAGGGTCATAATTCGAATTAATTATGCTCTCAGTATTTCCCATTCTCATTAAATCATTGTCAGGACAATGGATTCACGTGGTACCATTTCCTGTTCTCATTACAATCTTTGTCACAAGAATGAGGTATCAAAATTTCAGTTGCTTCACATTGTCTTTGAAAAATAAGAGTTAACTCTGCTGCTTTGACCTTTTTTTCTGTTCTGCATTTGGCTCAGCCTTGCTGTTCTTCATCTCTTCTGTGGCTTGGCAATTGGATTAAGATTAAGAGTCCTGAATATGGCAAAAGTTAAGAAATCACAATGAGCGGGTTGTGTTAAAACTTTGCCTTTCTCTTTTCAATGACAACAATAAATCAACAATTATAGCATAGTTTACAAAAATGTTAGAGAGTGTACACATGATCATTTCTTAGGTAAATGGCTTGTTAGCATTCTTTTTCATTTTCATTTTTACTGTCCTTCAACTTAAATAACAAAGACACAGCTTGTCCTTGAAAGAGAGCACAGAAATATTGTTCATCTTCTCTTTTGGTTTTTTTAATGAGTCCAAATTTATGTTACTTGTAGAAAAATATTCTGCAAGAAATATTCTGCAAATATTCTGCAAGAAAAATATGTTATTCAAATATGCAATTTAAATAAATTATCTTATTTTCCCTCCCTGCTGATCCTAGCTGCCTTTACCAAAGTTTTTTTTACAGTTGAGGGCTTTGTTCTTCCAAGACAGTTCTTCATTCTGTTTGGGTTCAGGTAAAAGTCTTACAAACACTGGGTAATGATTTGTTAACTAAACACCTCCTGAAGCATCTGTCAGCTCCCTCTGCAGCTCCTGCGGTCACTTCATAGTACCCTAATTAAATGCAAACTTTGTAAAACCCCAGAAAAGCACAGGTACCATTGGAATGATATAGAAATGCACACTCTTCTCACTGGTAATTTGCTATTACAGTTTTTTATTTTGTTTTGTTTCAGACTGTTATAATGGAGATCATTTAATTGTTTAAAAATCAGTGACCCTATACATAGCAATTTTAACTCATAATATCCTTTTAACTAAATTTTGATTAGCCTCCAATTCAGAATAGAGAAATTAAGTTTAACTTGGTTGGCATTTTTTAATTTGCTCCCCCATTATGTCAATTGTCAATATTATTTTGTTTGCTGCTTCTTTTTGGATTATATATTTATATTTATATTATATATGTTTCTTTTTGGCTTATATATTTAATATTTTATCTACTTTGGCCCAGCACAGTGCCTGAAATATAATAGGCATGCAAAAAAATGTTTGCTCATGGAAAGGAGCAGGAGTGAGAAAATGAAGTAGGATTGGTTAGAAATGGCATAATAAAACTAGAAATTTAAGTGATTTTTAGATAATACTTGCATCAGTACATGGTAAATATATTGTTATATTTAAGCACTTTCTTTAAACTTCTATCTAATTTAGATTTTTTATTGGAAATGGCTGCAAATTCTGCTTCAAGATGACATCAAAATTACAATTAATTTGTAGAACAGTCAACCTGGAAAATCAGTGGAGATCAGTGGGGATCAGTGGGATGATGGAAGACCTAAAATGGGGCTGGTCCCATACCAACATATGGCTGTTGTGAACTGGAGCAATATCTCAGCTGCAGAAGTCTCCCTCCAGGGAGCAAGGGGTCCCAGTTCAAATTGTTTCCCAGTTTGCAGCACCAGTACCAGGAAGAGGAGCCTATCTGGCTGTGAAAATTAGCTGGGATTCAGTCCATTTGGGTGCAAAAGAGGGCTTCTGGAAACCCAGAAATACCCTTAAAGGGCCCATGCACAGATTCACGCACAGGTACTTACTCTGGGCCCTGGTAGAGGCACAGAGGATATAGGGAGAAACTGTCACATGTCTTCAGGGTAAAAACTGGAGGGACAGCAGCCATCTTCCTGTGTTGAACCCTCCCACCGTGCAGCCTGCAGGTATTTGCTGGCACAAAATCTGAATCTGCACTAGCCTGGAAAACTCTACTTGCCCCACCCTGATGACTCCCTGAAACCCCACATGACCCAACTCTATCAGTCAGAGGCCCTTTCAGAGACAAGAGACTACCCTCAAAACTTTCCTAAAAACTCAAAATTCTGCAGGACCCAGGCAGGGGGTAGTTGCCTCAGTGTACTCTGTACCTTTTGGTGAGCAGCCACCAACCAGGAACTATTGCCAGATTTGAATCTGCATTAACATTGTAATCATTAACCCCACCCTGGTGACTCCCTGAGACTTTATTTCACCTAATTTGAGTATGGCCCAAGGGTCTTTTCTTGGATGAACCTTAACAGACAGCCAGTAGGCAGTGACAGGTCTCAGGGTGCCCTGTGCCTTCTGCTGAGTGGCCCCAGGGCCAATACTAGTGGCAGCTGGTGTCAGTTTGCAGTGTGGCTTCTAACACATACCTCCAGGTCCATTGCTGGCAGCTATCAACCCACAGAATGCTTTGTAGCTCTACCAAGTTGCCTGGCTGGTTACAGGCAGCAGCTGATCTTAGGCTACAGCAGAGCCCCTCTCAAGTGACCACAGAATTAACATTTCTAGTAGCCAGCTTCAGACCACAGCAGAGAACCACCTGATTAGCTCCACAAACAGCCCACACAAAGGGTGGTCTTGACTTCAGGGGCAACCCCTTGCCTTCAGGGGCAACTCCTGCTCGATGGAATTAGAAATTTATATGTTATGGTCATGGTAAATAGTCATATCCAGTCAGCCTGAGTGTCAATCTGACCCAGTGATGTGCCAATAATAATCAATCCTCAACTATAGTGGGAGGGCACACACAACCCACACAGGGAACACTCCTTGAGCATCTGGATGAAGTGATAAAGGAGACTACACAAATGGACCTTACTGATAAACTATACATAAGGCCACCCTGCCCAAACTAGGATACATAGCAGATCCACCTAATACTTAGAAGAATCACAGAAAGGCAGCCAAAAATTAAGAGATAAAAATGCATACTCCAGATGAAAAACCAGGACAAAACTCCAAAAAATAATTTAATTAAATGGAGGCAAGCAATATGCCAAATTCAGAGTTGAAAACACTGGTCATAAACATGCTCAAATTTATGCTCAAGTCTAGTGAGAATTTGAAAAAAGAAATACTAAGCATAAAAAATGACATGGAAACCATAAAAAAGAACAAGTCAGAAATGAAGAACACACTAGAGAAAATTTATAACAAATTAGATGAAGTAGAGGACTGAATCAGCCATTTGGAAGACAAGGTAGCAGAAAATATCCCCAAAAAAGAAAAAAGAATTTTATAAAATGAGGATACTTTAACAATATATGCAATATAAGGGTACCACAAGCCAGAGAGAGAACAAGGAAACAATAACCTATTGTAAGAAATAATAACTACAAAATTGCCTAATCTGGCAAAGAAATTAGACATATAAGTCCAGGAAGTGCAGAGTTCTAAACGAGATGAACACAAAGAAGCCAAAACCAAGACACATCATAACTAAAATGCCAAATTTTAAATACAAAGTGAGAATATTTTAAATTACAGTTTACATTCAATATTAGTTTGTATTAGTTTCACATATACAGCATAGTGGTTAGATAATTATATACTTTACAAAGTGTTCCCCTTCATATTTCTAGTACCTAGTTGTCATCATATATAGTTATTAACATATTGTTGACTATATTCCCTATGCTGTACTTTATAATCCCATGACTATTTTGTAACTACCAATCTGTACTTCAAAAAGAAGATTTTAAAAGCAAAAAGAAAATGGCAGGTACCCCCAAATGAGTTTTCATAAGACTGTCAGCTGATTACTCACCAGAAACTTTGCAGGCCAGAAGAGATTGGCACAAAATACTCAAAGTGATGAACAGCAAGGATCAACAATCAAAATTACTCTACCAACAAGGCTATCAGTTAAAGTTAAAGAAGAGATACATGGCTTTCCAGACAAGAAAAAGCTAAAGAAGTTCATCACCATAAAACCAGTATTACAAGACATGTTAAATGGGATTATTTTAAAAGAAGAAAGAATATAAATGTCAATAATAAAGTGATAATAACTACTACCTATAAATAATCACTTTAAATATAAAGGGATTAAATGTTCCAATCAAAAGACAGAGGGTAGCTGAATGAATAAGAAAGCAAGAAAGATGAAAAATAAACAATCTAACCTTATGTCTAAAGTAACTAAAAAGAAAAAGAAAACAAAACTGAGTAGAAAGAAAGAAATTACAATGACCAGAGAAGAAATAAACAAAATAGAGTATAAAAACATACAAAGGATCAATGAAAACAGGAGCTGGTTCTTTTAAAAGATAAATGAAATCTGCCACGGGGCGGGGGGAGCACTGGAGAGAGGGGACTCTAGCTCATTGCCTTGTGCTCCTTGCCCTCGGTCTTTCACTTGCCGCCAACGGCCTGCCTAGCCACTCGCACACCCGGCTGCTGCCCTGCAGAAATGCTTCGATTACACAAATCGACAAATTAGGCCGGTGTCAAGGGCACTGGCTCCTCATCTCACTCGGGCTTATGCCAAAGATGTAAAATTTGGTGCAGATGCCCGAGCCTTAATGCTTCAAGGTGTAGACCTTTTAGCCGATGCTGTAGCTGTTACTATGGGGCCAAAGGGAAGAACAGTGATAATTGAACAGAGCTGGGGAAGTCCCAGAGTAACAAAAGATGGTGTGACTGTTGCAAAGTCCATTGACTTAAAAGACAAATATAAAAATATTGGCGCCAAATTTGTTCAAGATGTTGTCAATAATACAAATGAAGAAGCTGGTGATGGCACCACCACTGCTACTGTGCTGGCAGGTGCTATTGCCAAGGAGGGTTTTGAGAAGATTAGTAAAGGTGCTAATCCAGTGGAGATCAGGAGAGGTGTGATGTTAGCTGTTGATGCTGTAATTTCTGAACTTAAGAAACAGTACAAACCTCTGACAACCCCTGAAGAAATAGCTCAGGTTGCTACAATTTCTGCAAATGGAGACAAAGAAATTGGCAACACAATTTCTGATGCAATGAAAAAGGTTGGAAGAAAGGGCGTCATCACAGTAAAGGATGGGAAAACACTGAACGATGAATTAGAAATTATTGAAGGCAGGAAGTTTGATCTAGGTTATATTTCTCCATACTTTATTAATACAGCAAAAGGTCAGAAATGTGAATTCCAAGATGCCTATGTCCTACTGAGTGAAAAGAAAATTTCTAGTGTTCAGTCCATTGTACCTGCTCTTGAAATTGCCAATGCTCACCGTAAGCCCTTCGTCATAATTGCTGAAGATGTTGATGGAGAAGTTCTAAGTACACTTGTTTCGAATAGTCTAAAAGTTGGTCTTCAAGTTGTAGCAGTCAAAGCTCCAGGTTTTGGTGACAATAGAAAGAACCAGCTTAAAGACATGGCTATTGCTACTGGGGGTGCAGTGTTTGGAGAAGGATTAACTCTCAATCTTGAAGATGTTCAGGCTCATGACTTAGGAAAAGTTGGTGAGGTCATTGTGACCAAAGATGATGCCATGTTCCTGAAAGGAAAAGGTGACAAGGCTCAAATTGAAAAACGTATTCAAGAAATCATTGAGCAGTTGGATGTCACAACTAGTGAATATGAAAAGGAAAAACTAAATGAACATCTAGCAAAACTCTCAGATGGGGTAGCTGTGCTGAAGGTTGGTGGGACAAGTGATGTTGAAGTGAATGAAAAGAAAGACAGAGTAACAGATGCCCTCAATGCTACATGAGCTGCTGTCGAGGAAGGCATTGTTCTGGGAGGGGGTTGTTCCCTGCTTCGGTGCATTCCACCCTTGGACTCTTTAACTCCAGCTAATGAAGATCAAAAATTTGGTATAGAAATTATTAAAAAAGCACTCAGAATTCCTGCAATGACCATTGCTAATAATGCGGGTGTTGAGGGATCATTGATAGTTGAGAAAATTATGCAGAGTTCCTCAGAAGTTGGTTATGATGCTATGCTTGGAGGTTTCGTGAATATGGTGGAAAAAGGAATCATTGATCCAACTAAGGTTGTAAGAACTGCTTTATTGGATGCTGCTGGAGTGGTCTCTCTGTTAACAACAGCAGAAGTTGTAGTCACAGAAATTCCGAAAGAAGAGAAAGACCCTGGCATGGGCGGCATGGGCGGAATGGGAGGCGGTATGGGAGGTGGCATGTTCTAGTCCTGGAATAGTGCTTTACCATTAGTACTGAGAACTGTGAGAGGAAGCTCCAGGCAGGACTCCTCACCTCTAACTTCAGAGAAGTCAGTGGAAGGAAATGACGGGAGAAAAGGCTGGCTGATGTTTAGGAAAATCACTAAGACCATCTGTTACTGGTATCAGTTGACAACATACAATGGTTTACTGCTGTTATTGTCCATGCCTACAGATAATTTATTTTGTATTTTTGAATAAAATACATTTGTACATTCCTGATAACTAAGTGCAAGAGCCATGTACCAATGTACTGCTTTCAACTTAAATCACTGAGGTATTTTTACTACTATTCTGTTAAAATCAGGATTTTAGTGCTTGCCATCACCTGATGAGAAGTTAAGCAGCCTTTCTGTGGAGAGTAAGAATAATTGTGTACAAAGTAGAGAAATATCCAATTATGTGAGCTTTGTGTAATAAAATTTGTTTAAAGTTAAAAAAAAGATAAATGAAATCGATAAAAATAAGCCAGGCTCATCAGGAAAACAGGGAAGATCCAAATAAATAAAATAAGAAACTATAAAGGCCATATACAAGAAACCTACAGCCTACATCATACTCAACAGGCAAACACTAAAAGCTTTCCCACTAAGATCAGGAACAAAACAAGGGTGTCCACTTTCACCACTTCTATTGAACAAAGTATTGAAAGTCCTAGCCACAGCAATCACACAAGAAAAAGACATAAAAGGCGCCCCCCAAAAAGGAGGAAGCAAAACAGTCATTATTTGCAGATGACATGATAGTGTATATAGAAAATCCTATTGACTACATCAAAAAACTACTTGACCAAATAAGTGAATTTGGCAAAACAGCAGGATACAAAGCCAATATTCAGAAATCAAAGGAATTTTTGTATACCTACAATAAAATACCAGAAACGAACATCAGAAAAAAATCCCATTTGATATAGCAATGAGAAAAATAAAGTATCTAGGAATAAACCTAACCAAGGAAGTAAAAGACCTGTCCTCAGAAAACTACACAACACTGAAGAAAGAAATTAAGGAAGACAGAAACAAAGGGAAGCATATACCATGTTCACGGATTGGAAGAATTAACATCATCAGAATGTACATACTACCCAAAGCAATCTATAGATTCAATGCAATCCCTATTAAAGTACCAAAAGCATATTTCACAGATATAGAACAAACATTTCAGAAATTTATATGGAACCATAAATGACCCTGAAGTACCACAGACATTTTGAGAAAGAAGAACGAAATAGGAGGGAACACCATACCTGACATCAAACTATTGTACAAGGCCACAGTAATCAAAACAGTCTTGTTCTGGCATAAGAGCAGACACATCGATCAATGGAACAGAATAAAGAACCCAGATATAAACCCAAGTCTCTATGCTGAATTAATATTCAACAAAAGGGCAGAAGCATAAAATGAAGTAAAAATAGCCTCTTCAACAAATGGTGTTGGGACAGCTGGACAGCTACATGCAAAAAAACAAAACAAAACAAAACAAAACAAACAAACAAAACAAACAAAATGAAACTCTATTGCCAACTTACACCATACACAAAAATAAATTCAAAGTGGATAAAAGACTTAAATATAAGTTGTGACACCATAAAAGTCCTAGAGGAGAACATAAGCAGAAAAATCTCAGATATTCCATGCAGCAATGTTTTCACTGATATGAACCGCAGACCAAGGGACATAAAGAAAAGAATAAACAAATGGGATCTCATCAAAACAAAAAGCTTCTGCATGGCTAAAGAAAACAGCAATCAAATGAAAAGAGAACCAACTCTGTGGGAAAATATACTTGCCAATGATACCTCAGACAGGCATTTCGTCTCCAAAATATATAAAAAATTCACATGACTCCACTCTAGGAAGACAAACAACCCAATTAAAAAATAAGCAAAGGACTTGCTTGAACAGATACTTTTCCAGGAGGACATATAGAGGGCCCAGAGACATATGAAAAGATGTTCAGTATCACTGGCCATCAGAGAGATGCAAACTAAAACCACAATGAGATACCATTTCACACCAGGCAGAATGGCCATCATAGCCAAATCAACAAACAAGTACTGGCAAGGTTGTGGAGAAAAGGCAACCCTAGTACACTGTTGGTGGGAATGCAGACCGGTACAGCCACTGTGGAAAACAGTATGGAATTTCTTCCAAAAACTAAAAATTTAACTGGCTTTTGACCCATCAATACCACTGGTAGGATTATACCCTAAGAATCCTGAAACACTAATTCAAAAAGACCCATGCACTCTAATGTTCATAGCTGCGCAATTTACAATAGCCAAGTGATGGAAGCAACCTAAATACTCACCAGTAAATGCATGTATCAAAACACTATGGTGCATTTACACAATGGAATACTACGCAGCAGAAAGAAAGAAAGAGTGCCTACCTTTCACAACAGCATGGAAGGAACTGGAGAGCATTATGCTAAGTGAAATAAGCCAGGTGTTGAAGACCAACACCATATGATCTCACCTATAAGAGGAACCTAATTAACAAAACAAACAAGCAAGCAAAATATAACCAGAAACACTGAAATAAACAACAAACTGACAGTAACTGGAAGGAATTGGGGAGAGGGGTAATGGGGGAAAATAGGGGAAGGTCCATCAAAGAACATGTATAAAGGACACATGGACAAAGCCAAAGTGGGTGGGTTTGAGGGTGGGAGGCAGGGATGGGTGGGGTGAGGGCACATGGTGGGGTGAAAGTGGAGATAAATGTACTTGAACAACAATAAAAATATATCTAAAAATAAAATATAAGAAATTAAAGAGAAGTAACAACTGACAACACAGAAATACAAAGGATTATAAAAATATACCACAAACAGTTACTTGCCCACCATTTGGACAATGTGTAAGAAATGGAAAATTCCTGGAAGCATACAATTTTTCAAGACTGAATCACAAGAAATGGAAAATTTGAACAGACTAATACTAATGAAATCAAATCAGTAATAAAAAAGTCCCAGCAATCATAAGTCCTTAACCAGATGGCTTCACAGATGAATTTTACCAAACAGTTAAATAAAATTAACACCTATTTTTCTCATACAATTCCAAATAATTAAAGAGAAGAGGAGGTTCCTAAGCTTAATTTATGAGGGCAGCATTATCCTGATTCCAAAACTAGACAAAGATATAAAATAAAATTATATATCAATCTCCCTGATGAATAAGATACACAATTACTGAACAAAACATTAGCTAACTGAACTATCAATGCATTAAAAAGATCATAACCATGATCAAGTAGGATTTATTCCTGGAATGCAAGGTTGGCCCAATAGCTGCAAATGAAATAACATAATATGCCACATAAACAAAATAAATGATAAAGTCTGGTGATTATATCAATAGCTGCAGAAAAGCATTTGACAAAATTCAGCATCCATTTATGATGAAAAGTCAGTAAAGTGGAAATAGAGTGAACCTACCTCAGTATAATATAAGCCATATGTGAGAAACTCACAACTAATGTTATACTTAATAGTAAATAGAATAGGCATTTTGGGGAGGAATTCTGGCCAAGTGGAGGTGTAGGTAGATAACAAAAAAAGGACAACAACAAACTTAAAAAAAAACAAAAAACAGAACTGACAGAAAATTCAACTATATGGAAGTCTGACAACCAAGGAGTTAAAGAAAAAACATTCATCCAGACTGGTAGGAGGGATGGACACAAACAGCCAGGAAGGAGAGTACTTGCAGCAAGGTGGTGGCTGGCAGAGCGGGAGAGGTGGCACCTGTCAGAGCAGGCGGTGCAACACTTGCATTCAGATAAACTTGGAGGAACAACTGTGGAGTGAGACAGACCACACAACCCAGGGCTCCAGTGCAGGAATGTAATGTCTCAAAACATCTGACTGAAAAAAACCTGTGGGAGTTGAGGTGGCAGGAGAAACTCCCAGCCTCACAGGAGAGTTCATTGGAGAGACCCACAGAGACCTGAAGCATACACAAACCCACCCATCCAGGAATCAGCACCAGAAGGGCCCAATTTCCTTGTGAGTAGCAGAGGTAGTGACTGAAATTGGGCAAAGAGATGAGCAAGTGGTATTGTTCCCTCTTGGACACCTCCCCTATATACAGCACCACAATGTAGGGACATGGGTTACCATGCCCTAGCATATACCTAAGACTCTGCCCCTTACTACTACTTAACAAGTAGTAAGGTGTGACAAGACAAAAAAAAGTCCAAATGAAAGAACAAATCAAAGCTTCAGAGAAAATACAACTATGCAACAAAGAGATAGCCAGCCTATCAGATTCACAGTTCAAAACACTGGTAATCAGGACGCTCTACAGAATTGGTTGAGTATGGTCTCAAAATAGAGGAAAAAGTGAAGGCTATGCAAAGTGAAATGAAGGAAAATGTACAGGGAACCAACAGTGAAGGGAAGGAAACTGAGACTCAAATAAACAATTTGGAACAAAAGGAAGAAATAAACATTCAACTAGAACACAATGAAGAAACAAGAATTCAAAAAATATGAGGAGAGGATTAGGAAACTCTGGGACAACTTTAAACATTCCAACATCTGAATCATAGGGGTGCCAGAAGGAGAAAAGCAAGAGCAAGAAATTGAAACCTTATTTGAAAAAATAATGAAAGAGAACTTCCCCAATCTGGCAAAGGAAATAGACTTCCAGGAAGTTTAGGAAGCTCAGAGAGTCTCAAAGAAGTTGGACCCAAGGAAGCACACACCAAGGCACATTATAATTACATTACCAAAGATCAAAATTAAGGAGAGGATCTTAAAAGCAGCAAAAGAAAAGGAAAGAGTTACCTACAAAGGAGCTCCCATAACACTGTCAGCTGATTTCTCAAAATAACCTTGCAGTCAGGAAGGGGCTGCAAAGGAGTATTCAAAGTCATGAAAGGCAAGGACCTACATCCAAGATTACTCTATCCAGCAAAGCTTTCATTTAGAATGGAAGAGCAGACAAAGCACTTCCCAGATAAGGTCAAGTTGAAGGAGTTCATCATCACCAAGCCCTTATTATATG